TGACGACGTAAGCGTTTTTGCCCGCGTTCCTGTCCATTTGGCCACCAGCGGGGTTGATCTGCCAAGAGAAATACAGGTTCGGGATTGCAACGCGGATGTCCACCTCGTCTGCGATGGCATCCCAGAATGCGGTTGAAGGCTGCGACTTCATACCAAAAGCGTGAATATGGTATCTGAAGGGGCCCAAATCCCAAGACGTCGCCATGGCACCAGGAAACACGGAAATCGGCATGGACATGACAGGAGCCAAGGTCATGTGCGGAATGTCCTCCCAAGGCTTCACATACGCGTCGTACAAAGAGCCAGTCAACGCACCGTTGTCCATGCCCATCCATACAAATCGTACCATGATGTAATGCTCATCCGTGGACCCCGGAATGCCGAACAGGATGCCTGGATGCACCATGAACAAGATCAGCACATCCCTGTCGATCAGCGTGTCTGACGATTGACTGGTGTACACAGAACCGAGGGCGTGCAGCATCGCGCGAGAGTACGGATACAGAAACGTAAACGTCTTGAAGTTGGGGTAGTCCGCATCCGCGAAGGTCTCGAGCGTGTAGTCCAGCACGACCCCCCAACTGCCGGGCCCACCCCCTAACACCGACCAATACAGATCTGGGTCCGAGACATTGTCCACTGTGTGCACCTGTGCGTCAGCCATGACGATCCGGAAGGACTTCACCACGTCGATACCCAGGCCGAAAGCTCTCCCGTAGTAACCAGCGGCGCTGGACTGGTAGTGTCCTCCGACCCCAACCGTCTTGCAAATGCCACCTGGAACGGCAAGTCCGTGGGGCGCCAGACTCGCGTAGACCTGCTCCAACGTGAGCCCGGCCCCGATGGTGACCTCCGCCGGCACCGTCGTCTGGTTCAAGCTGAAGGTCTCCATGCCAGAGAGGTCCACCTGAATGCACTGCGGACTGCTCGCTGGACAGGAAGAGTAGGCGGCGTAGTTGTGCCCACCGCTCCGCACGGAGATCGTAAAGCCACAGACCTCGGCGAGAGAAACCGCTTCCTGCACGTGGGAGTCAACAGTGCAGAAAATGATCATTTGCGGCTGGATCCTCTCGTCGGCGGTGGCCGAAGAAGCTCCGATTGTTGCAAACTGGCTCCGTGCGGTGTCGTAGTTAGCATCACCAACCCGAACCACGGTCGCGCTCAGCCCAGATCCGTCGCACGCAGGGGTCTGCTGCGTCGTGTTCGCGCGGGCGTCCAATCTGTGGACGTCCAACAGCTTCATGGCAGCAGCCGTGGGGCCACTGCAGGTGAACACAAGGACGCCCATGAGAATCGTGGCCTTCTGCAACATGGGCACCATGATGAGGGACGTCTGCACCGACATGTGCGCGGGCTGCCGCGGAGGCGCGGAGGTGAGCGTGGATGGTACAAGGCAGAATGTTGGTGTTATGAAAGTTGGTTGCGCAACGGCTCTGGAGCTCTGGAGCCGATACACTTGAGCCAAAATGGTTACGAAAGGGGCCCCGGACCTTATCGGAAGCCTCTAGGCCGGAGTCGGAGCCATCTTGAACTGTAATACTTGAAAACAAACGAACAAGGATAAGGATAATGAATGAGAATAAGGTATAAAAGATAAGTCATCAAATGAGCAAGCATAAGGATCTGCCACCGTGTCCCCTGGCACGTTGGGGCTGTATGGTAGGGATTATGTAGTGTTCGAGGGACCCCTGCCTATACCAGCAGTGGCCTGCATGCATCGCCCCCTACCGAGGCCACAATACTTCGCAAAATTCCACCAGCCCTCTGGGCGTAGGTGGTTTAACGAGTTCTGTCTTCTCTCTGCCAAAACACCTCCTTCTCCTGCTCGGAGGGGTTTACCACTTCTCTCTATGAGTACACACTCCCTCCCCCAGGCGACCGGCGGCCAACCAGGAACAATGCCGACCCCATGCTCACCCCCCTCCCAACCATCCCTGTCAAAACACAATACAAGACACACTCTGCCTCCAAATTCGTAGCATGCGCAACCAACCCGATGCGGGCCCCCCCCCACACCATCCCTGTCAAAAAATACAAAGTACTCTTCGGGGCAAAGTCTTGAATCATGTTCGTGGGGCCCGCGAGCACTTTGTATTGTTTCTTGACGGGGACGGTGGGGGTGTCCGCATATTGCCTGCTGCGTGCAGGGCCACCTGTCAAAAAAAAACAATACTAAATGCACCTCGCGGCTAAATCTAGGTCATGCGCGGCCACCCCGCGATCATTGTCAAGCGGTTTTTGACAGGGACGGCGGGGGTGGTGGCGTATGGCCTACTGTGCGCAGGCCCACCACGCACAATAACGGGCATTGGTTTGGGACGAGAACGGTGGGGGCCGACATGGTTCCCGATGTGTGCCGTCACGTGCGCAGGCGCACCTGACACACTCTGCACGTGCCCCGAACCTTGGCGCACCTGGCGCGGCTGGAGTCTGCGGCACACCTGGCGCACGTGGAGCACGTAGCGCATCTGGCGCACGAGGCGTGCCTGGCACGCTGGGGCCCCAGGGGTGCTAAGCGCGCGTGCCCCGCATGGCACACGTGGCGCACCTCGCCCCAGCGTCGCGCACGTAAGGTCGGTTTTACTGAGGTTCGGGTGTTACTTCTGTGTTGGGAGGGCGGGTGGGAGCGAGCTTGACGGCTTGCTATCTAGGAAAATGCCTTGATCACTGTTCTCTATTAATAAACACACCCCCTCCCCCACCCGGCCGGCAGCCAACCCGGAACCATGCGCGCTACCCAAGAGACCTCAATTGTTGACAGAGCCTGTTCGGAGGTTCAAAGCTTTGGTCCTTTGGTCCGGTGTTACTTATGTGTTGGGAGGGCGGGTGGGAGTGAGCTACACGGCTTGCTCCTTGTACGTGTCTTGATCACTGTTCCCTATCAAGAAACACCCCGTCCCCCAGGCGACTGGGAGCCAACCCGAGCCAATGAGGGCCCCCCCCACCATCCCTTGTAAAAAAAACATACAAAACACACTCTGCCTCCAAATTCGGAACATGCGCAGCGAACCCGATGCGGCCTCCCCTCACCATCCCTGTCAAAAAAACAATACAGAGTACACTTGGCGGCGGAGGCGGCGGCGGCGGCGGCGGATTGGCCCCCAGTAGCTGCCCATCCAAAGACGACTGCTGAATATTCTGCGGCTTGGGCCAGGCTCGGGTGCTACGTATGTGTTGGGAGGGCGGGTGGGAGTGAGCGAGACGGCTTGCGGGTGGGGAGGGGGTCTTGACCCCTCCCCTACCCACTCCCCTGGGCCTGGGGGGGTAATCGCGAAGCGCTAGAGCCCCCAAGATCGCCCAAGATGGCTCCAAGAGGGCCTCAGAGAGCCCAAGATAGCCTCCATGATGGCTCACGAAAACCCAAGATGGCTCAAGATAGCCTCCGACAAACATCAAAGAGGCCTCAAGACGGCCCTAAAACGGTTTGAAGTGCCCTCCGAGCCCTCGAAGGAACCCCCCAAGAGGCCTAAGTGGCTCCAACATCGAAGGAAAATCAATGACTGTTACCATCTCGCCTTTTCGCTTCCGATGGGCCCTTGAAGCTTTACGATGGCCCCAAGACGGCCCGAGAGAGTCCCAAGAGGGACCCACGAGGATCCCAAGAGGGCCCCGAGAGCGCCCAAGAGCGCCCCAAGACGGCCCCAAGACGCCATGGTTGAGACTCCAGCGGGGGGGGCTGAATTTCCACCCCCCCTCTTTCTGAGTCATGGGGGCCGCCAACTTGACCCCAAGGGTCCGAACAGACCCCCACAACGAGCCCCAAGAAGCCCAATTACATGACAGACATACATTACATAGGAGCAGACGTTTGTTTTTGTTCGGACGTTTGCGACTAAGCATTTTGCGAGCAGTGGAACGCGCTCGGTGAACCTCGATTTCTTCGAGACACGGGCCCCCGACCTCTCGACCACTTCCCCAGGGCCGGCTCGTCCTCTCGAGTCGCTGCTTGCCGGCCCCGAGGGCCGGCGAGGGCCCCGAGAGGCCGAAGGCGGCGAAACAACACGCCGCCTCGATTCTTTCGAGGCGCCAGGAAAGTCGTGGGGGGGCGGGCCAGGTGGGGCCGAGACAGGGCAGGGTCGTGTCGTGCCGACCCTGGCGTTGGTCCCTGACACCGCGCGGATCGTTCAACCTTGAACGATCGACCGTTTCCGATACGTCAGCTTGGCCAGTCGGTCGGCACGACGCGAACCTGCCGTGCCATGGCCAGAGGCCTCCTAGATGGGGTCCGAGTGGATGGGGTCGGAGGATCGCGCCGCATCGCCGATGCATCGCTGATGCGGCTCGATGTGCAGCCCGATTTGCTTCACGTCGACGTCGCCGATGCATCGCCGACGTCGACGATGCATCGCCGATGCATCACCGATGCGTCGCCGATGCATCGCCGATGCAGCGTTTGCAGCCTCGCGCGGCCCTCACCTGGCTTCGGGGCCGCGTCTCGAAAGAATCGATATACGCTGGACGTCCGGAGAGAAGAGCGGCACCCAGTGCCCAGAAGTCGTGTGCAGTCCGCGGGCCGTTCGGGGGAGGTCTGGAAGAGGGCGCAGGAGAGTCTGAGGACGCGGGGAGGAGGAGGAGGAGGAGGAGGAGGAGGAGGAGGAGGAGGAGGAGGAGGAGGAGGAGGAGGAGGACGAGGAGGAGGAGGATAAGAAGGAGGAGGAGGAGGAGGAGGAGGAGCAGGGAGGCCAGAAGTTTGGGGGGGGGGCGAGGGAAGGGGGGGAGCAACGGAACCAACGGAAGCAACGGAACCGCGAGAAGCGGGAGAAAGATGGAGTCGAGCCGCTGGGGAGAGCCTCTCGGGGCCATCCTGGAGCTTCTCGGGGTCATGGGGACCCACCTGGGGGCGATGTCGGCCCGCTCTCAGGCCTCGTGGGGCTGGGCTGGAGGGCCCGGAGAGCATCTAGGGGCGTCTTGGGTTGGTCCTCGGGCCGACGTTCTGAGCCGTCCCTGGAGCTGGGGGGCCATCCTGGCCACTCCTGGGGGCATGCACAGGGATTCGCAGGGGGGCCCGGACTCTATATCTTTTTTTTTTCGGCGGCGGCGCGCACGGGCGCAGCGAGCGGCTCGGCGAGGCACAGCCCCTCGAAGTCGGCTCGCCCTCGCCGCGCGCTGCCCCGCACGCTTGGGCGCTGGGGCAGCGCCTGGGGGAAGAGGCGCAGCGGAAGCCGTGTTGCAGCGCCCGACGGCTCCGTTGATATAATAAGGGAACTTCAGGAAACAGCTCAAGGAAACAGCTGGGAAGTTCATATAAGAAAAGGACCTAGAAAACTGATCAGCATCTAGATAATTGCGGAGATCCCACAGCCGGGGCCATCTCCGATACATCTGCGCCGATTGGCAAAAGTGCACAGGAGCGTCTGCGTGGAACGTCCACCCAGGCAGAATCGCTGGTCCGCTGAGCGGGCCACTCGAGAAGTACTAGGGGCCTACTCAAGGCTTGCCTCTGCGGTCGAGGCGGCAGGCGCGCTCGTGTCGGCCGAGAGGAGCGAAGTGCTGCGCCGGCACGATTCCAAAGGGGTCGAGGCCATCTCGTGGTCGTCCTCTCCGAGCAGCCCCCCGATAGCGAAGCCGGTCTTCGAGAGGTGCTTGACGTACAGATTCAGATAGCGGGCGCCCTGCGTGGTGTGCCCGTGCGCGACCCTCAGGCTGACGCCTGCGAAGTTCATCCACTTGGACGGTCTGCGGGTATCATCGTGCGCGCGGAAGCGGAGACCACCCTTCGCCCTGGCCTCGGGCCACTGCCCGGTGATATTCAGCGCCCGGAAGTAGACGTCCGCGCACGCCGAGCCGTCGTGGCGCGCCTCCGCCTCGACGAGCAGCAGCACGCTCTCCGCGGCCGCGCGCCTCGGGATCTCGAGCAGGGTGTGCCTGCCAGGCTGCAGCAGGTCGAAGCGCTCGCCGTGGACGTTCTGCAGGTGCGGGTCGCCCACGGCGCTGGCCGAGGCCCTCGGGGGTATCGTCACCGCCATGTGGAAGAGGTCGGTGGGGTCGACCCTGGTCTTCACGTCCTGCAGCCGCGCGAACCAGCTCTCGTTCATGGCGAAGTCCGCGGGTCCACTGTGAGTGTTGTTGATGAGCGTGTCCGGGGTCATCCAGCTGTGGGCGACGTTGTCCTCCTCCCAGAAGTGTTCGGTGGCCTCCCGGAAAGCCACGATTCGCTCCTCGGCCACATCAGCCAGAGCGTCTCCTAAGAAGAAGACCCAATCATCCACCCAGTTCTTGACGTACCTGACGACGTAAGCGTTTTTGCCCGCGTTCCTGTCCATTTGGCCACCAGCGGGGTTGATCTGCCAAGAGAAATACAGGTTCGGGATTGCAACGCGGATGTCCACCTCGTCTGCGATGGCATCCCAGAATGCGGTTGAAGGCTGCGACTTCATACCAAAAGCGTGAATATGGTATCTGAAGGGGCCCAAATCCCAAGACGTCGCCATGGCACCAGGAAACACGGAAATCGGCATGGACATGACAGGAGCCAAGGTCATGTGCGGAATGTCCTCCCAAGGCTTCACATACGCGTCGTACAAAGAGCCAGTCAACGCACCGTTGTCCATGCCCATCCATACAAATCGTACCATGATGTAATGCTCATCCGTGGACCCCGGAATGCCGAACAGGATGCCTGGATGCACCATGAACAAGATCAGCACATCCCTGTCGATCAGCGTGTCTGACGATTGACTGGTATACACAGAACCGAGGGCGTGCAGCATCGCGCGAGAGTACGGATACAGAAACGTAAACGTCTTGAAGTTGGGGTAGTCCGCATCCGCGAAGGTCTCGAGCGTGTAGTCCAGCACGACCCCCCAACTGCCGGGCCCACCCCCTAACACCGACCAATACAGATCTGGGTCCGAGACATTGTCCACTGTGTGCACCTGTGCGTCAGCCATGACGATCCGGAAGGACTTCACCACGTCGATACCGAGGCCGAAAGCTCTCCCGTAGTAACCAGCGGCGCTGGACTGGTAGTGTCCTCCGACCCCAACCGTCTTGCAAATGCCACCTGGAACGGCAAGTCCGTGGGGCGCCAGACTCGCGTAGACCTGCTCCAACGTGAGCCCGGCCCCGATGGTGACCTCCGCCGGCACCGTCGTCTGGTTCAAGCTGAAGGTCTCCATGCCAGAGAGGTCCACCTGAATGCACTGTGGACTGCTCGCTGGACAGGAAGAGTAGGCGGCGTAGTTGTGCCCACCGCTCCGCACGGAGATCGTAAAGCCACAGACCTCGGCGAGAGAAACCGCTTCCTGCACGTGGGAGTCAACAGTGCAGAAAATAATCATTTGCGGCTGGATCCTCTCGTCGGCGGTGGCCGAAGAAGCTCCGATTGTTGCAAACTGGCTCCGTGCGGTGTCGTAGTTAGCATCACCAACCCGAACCACGGTCGCGCTCAGCCCAGATCCGTCGCACGCAGGGGTCTGCTGCGTCGTGTTCGCGCGGGCGTCCAACCTGTGGACGTCCAACAGCTTCATGGCAGCAGCCGTGGGGCCACTGCAGGTGAACACAAGGACGCCCATGAGAATCGTGGCCTTCTGCAACATGGGCACCATGATGAGGGACGTCTGCACCGACATGTGCGCGGGCTGCCGCGGAGGCGCGGAGGTGAGCGTGGATGGTACAAGGCAGAATGTTGGTGTTATGAGTGTTGGTTGCGCAACGGCTCTGGAGCTCTGGAGTCGATACACTTGAGCCAAAATGGTTACGAAAGGGGCCCCGGACCTTATCGGAAGCCTCTAGGCCGGAGTCGGAGCCATCTTGAACTGTAATACTTGAAAACAAACGAACAAGGATAAGGATAATGAATGAGAATAAGGCATAAAAGATAAGTCATCAAATGAGTAAGAATAAGGATCTGCCACCGTGTCCCCTGGCACGTTGGGGCTGTATGGTAGGGATTATGTAGTGTTCGAGGGACCCCTGCCTATACCAGCAGTGGCCTGCATGCATCGCCCCCTACCGAGGCCACAATCCTTCGCAAAATTCCACCAGCCCTCTGGGCGTAGGTGGTTTAACGAGTTTTGTCTTCTCTCTGCCAAAATACCTCCTTCTCCTGCTCGGGGGAGGGGTTTACCACTTCACTCTATGAGTACACACTCCCTCCCCCAGGCGACCGGCGGCCAACCAGGAACAATGCCGACCCCATGCTCACCCCCCTCCCAACCATCCCCGTCAAAACACAATACAAGACACACTCTGCCTCCAAATTCGTAGCATGCGCAACCAACCCGATGCGGGCCCCCCCCACACACCATCCCTGTCAAAAAAAACAAAGTACTCTTCGGGGCAAAGTCTTGAATCATGTTCGTGGGGCCCGCGAGCACTTTGTATTGTTTTTTGACGGGGACGGTGGGGGTGTCCGCATATTGCCTGCTGTGTGCAGGGCCACCTGTCAAAAAAAAACAATACGAAATGCACCTCGCGGCTAAATCTGGGTCATGCGCGGCCACCCCGCGATCATTGTCAAGCGGTTTTTGACAGGGACGGCGGGGGTGGTGGCGTATGGCCTACTGTGCGCAGGCCCACCACGCACAATAACGGGCATTGGTTTGGGACGAGAACGGTGGGGGCCGACATGGTTCCCGATTTGTGCCGGCACGTGCGCAGGCGCACCTGACACACTCTGCACGTGCCCCGAACCTTGGCGCACCTCGCGCGGCTGGAGTCTGCGGCACACCTGGCGCACGTGGAGCACGTAGCGCATCTGGCGCACGAGGCGTGCCTGGCACGCTGGGGCCCCAGGGATGCTAAGCGCGCGTGCCCCGCATAGCACACGTGGCGCACCTCGCCCCAGCGTCGCGCACGTGAGGTCGGTTTTACTGAGGTTCGGGTGTTACTTCTGTGTTGGGAGGGCGGGTGGGAGCGAGCTTGACGGCTTGCTATCTAGGAAAGTGCCTTGATCACTGTTCCCTATTAATAAACACCCCCTCCCCCACCCGGCCGGCAGCCAAACCGGAACCATGCGCACACCATGAGGGCCCCCCACCACCACCATCCCTGTCAAAAAAAAACAATGCAAAACACACTCTGCCTCCACATCAGAGCATCTGGGCGCTCTTGGGCTCGGTCGCGTGGATTTTCCAAAGGCCACAGGGCCCCAAGACGAACCAAGATGGCCCCAAGAAGCGCCCAAGAGGGCCCAAGAGGCCTCCAAGACGGCCCAAGAGCGCTCCAAGACGCCCAAGATGGGCTCAAGACGGCTCAAGGGACCTCCAAGAGGCTCCAAGAGCTCTCCAAGTGGCCGCCAAGAGGGCTCCAAGAGACAGCAATCATTGTTTTTCATTGTGTTTTTCCATTGTCTTGGGGGCTCTCGCCCTTTCGTGTTTCCGACGCTCCAAAATGGACCACGAGGCCCAACAGACCGCCCCAAGACGGCCCAAGAGGCCCCCAAGAAGATCCCAAGACGGTCCAAGAGGGCCCCCAAACGGCCCCAGAGGCGCTCGAGATCGCCCAAGAGGGCCCCAAGACGGCCTTAAGAGGGTCCCTAGAAGGGGAATACGAACCGAGAATTCGAGCTTTCCGCCTCAAGAGACCCCCAGGAGGCCCCAAGAGGCCCCCAAGAGCCCGAGAGACCACATGGAGGCCCCACGAGGCCCCGAAGAGGTTCAAAAAGAGGCCCCAAGAGGCCCCCCAACGCCCCCCAAGAGGCCCCCCAAGGCTACCCAAGAGACCTCAATTGTTGACAGAGCCTGTTCGGAGGTTCAAACCTTTGGTCCTTTGGTCCGGTGTTACTTATGTGTTGGGAGGGCGGGTGGGAGTGAGCTACACGGCTTGCTCCTTGTACGTGTCTTGATCACTGTTCCCTATTAATATACACCCCGTCCCCCAGGCGACTGGGAGCCAACCCGAGCCAATGAGGGCCCCCCCCACCATCCCTTGTAAAAAACCATACAAACACACACTCCGCCTCCAAATTCGGAGCATGCGCAGCGAACACGATGCGGCCTCCCCTCACCATCCCTGTCAAAAAACAATACAGAGTACACTTGGCGGCGGAGGCGGCGGCGACGGCGGATTGGTCCCCAGTAGCTGCCCATCCAAAGACGACTGCTGAATATTCTGCGGCTTGGGCCAGGCTCGGGTGCTACGTATGTGTTGGGAGGGCGGGTGGGAGTGAGCGAGACGGCTTGCGGGCGGGGAGGGGGTCTTGACCCCTCCCCCTACCCACTCCCCTGGGCCTGGGGGGGTAACCGCGAAGCGCTAGAGCCCCCAAGATCGCCCAAGATGGCTCCAAGAGGGCCTCAGAGAGCCCAAGATAGCCTCCATGATGGCTCACGAAAACCCAAGATGGCTCAAGATAGCCTCCGACAAACATCAAAGAGGCCTCAAGACGGCCCTAAAACGGTTTGAAGTGCCCTCCGAGCCCTCGAAGGAACCCCCCAAGAGGCCTAAGTGGCTCCAACATCGAAGGAAAATCAATGACTGTTACCATCTCGCCTTTTCGCTTCCGATGGGCCCTTGAAGCTTTACGATGGCCCCAAGACGGCCCGAGAGAGTCCCAAGAGGGACCCACGAGGATCCCAAGAGGGCCCCGAGAGCGCCCAAGAGCGCCCCAAGACGGCCCCAAGACGCCATGGTTGAGCCTCCAGGGGGGGGGGGGCTGAATTTCCACCCCCCCTCTTTCTGAGTCATGGGGGCCGCCAACATGACCCCAAGGGTCCGAACAGACCCCCACAACGAGCCCCAAGAAGCCCATTTTTACATTACATAGGAGCAGACGTTTGTTTTTGTTCGGACGTTTGCGACTAAGCATTTTGCGAGCAGTGGAACGCGCTCGGTGAGCCTCGATTTCTTCGAGACACGGGCCCCCGACCTCTCGACCACTTCCCCAGGGCCGGCTCGTCCTCTCGAGTCGCTGCTTGCCGGCCCCGAGGCCCGGCGAGGGCCCCGAGAGGCCGAAGGCGGCGAAACAACACGCCGCCTCGATTCTTTCGAGGCGCCAGGAAGGTCGTGGGGGGGCGGGCCAGGTGGGGCCGAGACAGGCAGGGTCGTGTCGTGCCGACCCTGGCGTTGGTCCCTGACACCGCGCGGATCGTTCAACCTTGAACGATCGACCGTTTCCGATACGTCAGCTTGGCCAGTCGGTCGGCACGACGCGAACCTGCCGTGTCATGGCCAGAGGCCTCCTAGATGGGGTCCGAGTGGATGGGGTCGGAGGATCGCGCCGCATCGCCGATGCATCGCTGATGCGGCTCGAGGTGCAGCCCGATTTGCTTCACGTCGACGTCGCCGATGCATCGCCGACGTCGACGATGCATCGCCGATGCATCACCGATGCGTCGCCGATGCATCGCCGATGCAGCGTTTGCAGCCTCGCGCGGCCCTCACATGGCTTCGGGGCCGCGTCTCGAAAGAATCGATATACGCTGGACGTCCGGAGAGAAGAGCGGCACCCAGTGCCCAGAAGTCGTGTGCAGTCCGCGGGCCGTTCGGGGGAGGTCTGGAAGAGGGCGCAGGAGAGTCAGAGGACGCGGGGGGAGGAGGAGGAGGAGGAGGAGGAGGAGGAGGAGGAAGGAGGAGGGAGGAGGAGGACGAGGAGGAAGGAGGAGGAGGAGGAGGAGGAGGAGGGAGGAGGAGGAGGAGGAGGAGAGGGAGGCCAGAGGTTTGGGGGGGGGCGAGGGAAGGGGGGGAGCAACGGAACCAACGGAAGCAACGGAACCGCGAGAAGCGGGAGAAAGATGGAGTCGAGCCGCTGGGGAGAGCCTCTCGGGGCCATCCTGGAGCTTCTCGGGGTCATGGGGGCCCACCTGGGGGCGATGTCGGCCCGCTCTCAGGCCTCGTGGGGCTGGGCTGGAGGGCCCGGAGAGCATCTAGGGGCGTCTTGGGGTGGTCCTCGGGCCGACGTTCTGAGCGGTCCCTGGAGCTGGGGGGCCATCCTGGCCACTCCTGGGGGCATGCACAGGGATTCGCAGGGGGGCCCGGACTCTATATATCTTTTTTTTTTCGGCGGCGGCGGCGCGCACGGGCGCAACGAGCGGCTCGGCGAGGCACAGCCCCTCGAAGTCGGCTCGCCCTCGCCGCGCGCTGCCCCGCACGCTCGGGCGCTGGGGCAGCGCCTGGGGGAAGAGGCGCAGCGGAAGCCGTGTTGCAGCGCCCGACGGCTCCGTTGATATAATAAGGGAACTTCAGGAAACAGCTCCAGGAAACAGCTGGGAAGTTCATATAAGATAAGGACCTAGAAGACTGATCAGCATCTAGATAATTGCGGAGATCCCACAGCCGGGGCCATCTCCGATACATCTGCGCCGAATGGCAAAAGTGCACAGGAGCGTCTGCGTGGAACGTCCACCCAGGCAGAATCGCCGGTCCGCTGAGCGGGCCACTCGAGAAGTACTAGGCCTACTCAAGGCTTGCCTCTGCGGTCGAGGCGGCAGGCGCGCTCGTGTCGGCCGAGAGGAGCGAAGTGCTGCGCCGGCACGATTCCGAAGGGGTCGAGGCCATCTCGTGGTCGTCCTCTCCGAGCAGCCCCCCGATAGCGAAGCCGGTCTTCGAGAGGTGCTTGACGTACAGATTCAGATAGCGGGCGCCCTGCGTGGTGTGCCCGTGCGCGACCCTCAGGCTGACGCCTGCGAAGTTCATCCACTTGGACGGTCTGCGGGTATCATCGTGCGCGCGGAAGCGGAGACCACCCTTCGCCCTGGCCTCGGGCCACTGCCCGGTGATATTCAGCGCCCGGAAGTAGACGTCCGCGCACGCCGAGCCGTCGTGGCGCGCCTCCGCCTCGACGAGCAGCAGCACGCTCTCCGCGGCCGCGCGCCTCGGGATCTCGAGCAGGGTGTGCCTGCCAGGCTGCAGCAGGTCGAAGCGCTCGCCGTGGACGTTCTGCAGGTGCGGGTCGCCCACGGCGCTGGCCGAGGCCCTCGGGGGTATCGTCACCGCCATGTGGAAGAGGTCGGTGGGGTCGACCCTGGTCTTCACGTCCTGCAGCCGCGCGAACCAGCTCTCGTTCATGGCGAAGTCCGCGGGTCCACTGTGAGTGTTGTTGATGAGCGTGTCCGGGGTCATCCAGCTGTGGGCGACGTTGTCCTCCTCCCAGAAGTGTTCGGTGGCCTCCCGGAAAGCCACGATTCGCTCCTCGGCCACATCAGCCAGAGCGTCTCCTAAGAAGAAGACCCAATCATCCACCCAGTTCTTGACGTACCTGACGACGTAAGCGTTTTTGCCCGCGTTCCTGTCCATTTGGCCACCAGCGGGGTTGATCTGCCAAGAGAAATACAGGTTCGGGATTGCAACGCGGATGTCCACCTCGTCTGCGATGGCATCCCAGAATGCGGTTGAAGGCTGCGACTTCATACCAAAAGCGTGAATATGGTATCTGAAGGGGCCCAAATCCCAAGACGTCGCCATGGCACCAGGAAACACGGAAATCGGCATGGACATGACAGGAGCCAACGTCATGTGCGGAATGTCCTCCCAAGGCTTCACATACGTGTCGTACAAAGAGCCAGTCAATGCACCGTTGTCCATGCCCATCCATACAAATCGTACCATGATGTAATGCTCATCCGTGGACCCCGGAATGCCAAACAGGATGCCTGGATGCACCATGAACAAGATCAGCACATCCCTGTCGATCAGCGTGTCTGACGATTGACTGGTATACACAGAACCGAGGGCGTGCAGCATCGCGCGAGAGTAAGGATACAGAAACGTAAACGTCTTGAAATTGGGGTAGTCCGCATCCGCGAAGGTCTCGAGCGTGTAGTCCAGCACGACCCCCCAACTGCCGGGCCCACCCCCTAACACCGACCAATACAAATCTGGGTCCGAGACATTGTCCACGGTGTGCACCTGTGCGTCAGCCATGACGATCCGGAAGGACTTCACCACGTCGATACCGAGGCCGAAAGCTCTCCCGTAGTAACCAGCGGCGCTGGACTGGTAGTGTCCTCCGACCCCAACCGTCTTGCAAATGCCACCTGGAACGGCAAGTCCGTGGGGCGCCAGACCCGCGTAGACCTGCTCCAACGTGAGCCCGGCCCCGATGGTGACCTCCGCCGGCACCGTCGTCTGGTTCAAGCTGAAGGTCTCCATGCCGGAAAGGTCCACCTGAATGCACTGCGGACTGCTCGCTGGACAGGAAGAGTAGGCGGCGTAGTTGTGCCCACCGCTCCGCACGGAGATCGTGAAGCCACAGACCTCGGCGAGAGAAACCGCTTCCTGCACGTGGGAGTCAACAGTGCAGAAAATAATCATTTGCGGCTGGATCCTCTCGTCGGCGGTGGCCGAAGAAGCTCCGATTGTTGCAAACTGGCTCCGTGCGGTGTCGTAGTTAGCATCACCAAACCGAACCACGGTCGCGCTCAGCCCAGATCCGTCGCACGCAGGGGTCTGCTGCGTCGTGTTCGCGCGGGCGTCCAACCTGTGGACGTCCAACAGCTTCATGGCAGCAGCCGTGGGGCCACTGCAGGTGAACAGAAAGACGCCCATGAGAATCGTGACCTTCTGCAACATGGGCACCGTGATGAGGGACGTCTGCACCGACATGTGCGCGGGCTTCCGCGGAGGCGCGGAGATGAGCGTGGATGATACAAGGCAGAATGTTGGTGTTATGAGTGTTGGTTGCGCAACGGCTCTGGAGCTCTGGAGCCGATACACTTGAGCCAGAATGGCTACTGAAGGGGCCCAAACCTTATCGGATGCCTCTAGGCCGGTGTCGGAACCATCTTGAACTGTGCAGGGTATACTTGAAAACAAACAAACAAGGATAAGGATAATGCATGAGGATAAGGCATAAAAGATAAGTCATCAAATGAATAAGAATAAGGATCTGCCACCACGTCCCCTGGCACGTTGGGGCTGTCTGGTAGGGGTTATGTGGTCTTCGAGGGACCCCTGCCTCTACCAGCAGTGGCCTGCATGCATCGCCCCCTACCGAGGCCACAATCCTTCGCAAAATTCCACCAGCCCTCTGGGCGTAAGTGGTTTAACGAGTTTTGTCTTCTCTCTGCCAAAACCCTTCCTTCTCCTGCTCGGGGGAGGGGTTTACCACTTCACTCTATGAGTATACACTCTCTCCCCCAGGCGACTGGCGGCCAACCAGGAACAATGCCGACCCCATGCTCACCCCCCTCCCAACCATCCCTGTCAAAACACGATACAAAACACACTCTGCCTCCAAATTCGTAGCATGCGCAACCAACCCGTTGCGGCCCCCCCCCACACCATCCCTGTCAAAAAAAATGCAAAGTACTATTCGGGGCAAAGTCTTGAGTCATGTTCGTGGGGCCCGCCAGCACGTTGTATTGTTTTTTTGACGGAGACGGTGGGGGTGTCCGCATATTGCCTGCTGTGTGCAGGGCCACCTGTCAAAAAACAATACAAAATGCACCTCGCGGCTAAATCTGGGTCATGCGCGGCCACCCCGCGATCATTGTCAAGTGGTTTTTGACAGGGACGGCGGGGGTGGTGGCGTATGGCCTGCTGTGCGCAGGCCCACCACGCACAATAACGGGCATTGGTTTGGGACGAGAACGGTGGGGGCCGACATGGTTCCCGATGCGTGCCGTCACGTGCGCAGGCGCACCTGACACACTCTGCACGTGCCCCGAACCTTGGCGCACCTGGCGCGGCTGGAGTCTGCGGCACACCTGGCGCACGTGGAGCACGTAGCGCATCTGGCGCACGAGGCGTGCCTGGCACGCTGGGGCCCAAGGGGTGCTAAGCGCGCGTGCCCCGCATGGCACGCGCGGCGCTCCACATCTGGTTCCCAGTAGCTGCCCATCCAAAGACGACCGCTGAACATGCTGAGGTTCGGGTGTTACGTATGTGTTGGGAGGGCGGGTGGGAGTGAGCTTGACGGCTTGCTATCTCGGAGGGTGCCTTGACCCCTCCCCCTACCCCCTCACCTGGGCCTAGGGGGAGAACCACGAGGCGCTTGAGCCCCCAAGATCACCAAAGATGGCTCCAAGCGGGCCTCAGCGATTCCAAGATGGTCTCCAAGATGGCTCAAGATAGCCTTCGACAAACATCAAGGAGGCCTCAAGACGGCCCTAAAACGGTTTGAAGTGCCCTCCGAGCCCTCTAAGGGACCCCCCAAGAGGCCTAAGTGGCTCCAACATCGAAAGAAAATCAATGTGTGTTGCCATCTCGCCGTTTCGCTTCCGATGGGCCTTTCACGCCGAACGATGGCCCCAAGACGGCCCAAGAGAGTTCCAAGAGGGACCCACGAGGATTCCAAGAGGGACCCAAGAGCGCCCAAGAGCGCCCCAAGACGGCCCAAGACGCCATGGTTGAGCCTCCGAGGGGGGGGGGGGGGCTGAATTTCCACCCCCTCTTTCTGAGTCATGGGGGCCGCCAAGATGGCCCCAAGGGGCCGAACACCCCCCCAAACGAGCCCTGAGAAACCCCAAGAAGGCCCCAAGAAAGCCCCAACAGGGCCACAAGAGTGCCCCAAGAGGCTCCACGAGGACCCCAAGAGAGCCCCAAGATGGCTCCAAGGGACCTCCGAGAAAACGCGTCCAACGCGGCTGCTACACTGCACGCTTCTGTGATCAAGGCAACTCGCCTGGCGATCTGCTTCTGGACGGGCTGGAAGGAAGACGCGAAGCGTCAAGACGTCAATGCAGCAGGTTCGCGCTCTCGAGGCGACAACGCTCCCGAGGCGCAGATGCCTCCAAGACGGCCCAAGATGGCTCTAAGACGGCCCAGTTGGCCTCAAGACTGCCCGCCAAGACGGCCTCACGACGGCCCCCAGGCACCCACCATACAGTCAAGAGGACTCCAAGACGGCCCCAAGGAGCCCCAAGACTGCCCAGGAGGGCCCAAAAACAGCCCAAGAGGCCCGCAAGGGATGCCCAAGACTGCATCGCAGGTGGCCAAGACGGCCACAACACGGCCCAAACGAATTCCATGAGGTACTGGAAGAATGAAGACCCATATTTCACATGTGACTCCTCCTCCTCCTCCTCCTCCTCCCCCATCCGTCTTCTCCTCCTCCCCCTCCTTCTCCTCCTCCTCCTCCTCCTCCTCCTCCTCCTCCTCCTCCTCCTCCTCCTCCTCCTCCTCTCCTCCCTCTCCTCCTCCCTCCTCCTCTCCTCCTCCTCCTCCTCCCTCCTCCTCCTCACTCCGCTCCCTCGTCTCTCCGCACCGCCTCCTCCGCATCCTCATCCCCTCCTCCTCCTCCGTCTCTCTTCCTCCTCCTCCGTATCTTTCCCCTGCTCCTTCTCGCGCCTCCTCCTCCTCCAACTCCTCCTCCTCCTCCTCCTCCTCCTCCCTCTCTCTCCTCCTCCTACTCCTCCTACTCCTACTCTCCTCCTCCTCCTCCGCATCCTCCTCATCCTCTCCTCATCCTCCTCCTCCTCCAACTCATCCTCCTCCTCCTCCTCTCTCCTCCTCCTCCCTCCTCATCCATCCATCCATCATCATCATCATCAGCATCATCATCATCATCATCATCATCATCATCATCATTCATCATCATCATCATCATCATCATCATCAATCATCATCATCACATCATCATCATCATCATCATCATCATCATCATCATCATCATCATCATCATCATCATCATCATCATCATCATCATCATCATCATCATCATCATCATCATCATCATCATCATCGTCATCATCATCATCATCATCATCAGCATCATCATCATCATCATCTTCATCATCATCATAATCATCATCATCAGCATCATCATCATCATCATCAGCATCACCATCGTCAGCATCATCATCGTCATCGTCAGCATCGTCATCATCAGCAACATCATCATCAGCATCATAGTCATCATCATCATCATCAGCAGCATCATCATCATCATCATCGTCATCATCATCATCATCATCATCATCATCAGCAGCATCATCATCGACATCATCAGCAGCATCAGCATCAGCATCAGCATCAGCTTCAGCACCACCATCATCATCAGCATCATCATCAGCAGCAGCATCATCAGCAGCATCATCAGCAGCATCAGCATCAGCCTCAGCATCAACATCATCACCAGCATCATCATCATCAGCAACAGCATCATCAGCATCAGCATCATCAGCATCATCAGCAGCATCACCATCATCATCATCATCACCATCAGCATCGGCATCAACATCATCAACAACAACAAACACAGCCGCATTGTCGTTAGCATTATCATCACCATCATCAGAATCGTCATCATCAGCATCAGCATCACCATCACCATCACCAGCATCATCATCAGCATCATCAGCAGCATCATCAGCAGCATCATCCGCACCAGCATCATCCTCAGCAGCATCATCATCAGCAACAGCATCAATCATCAGCCTCATCATCATGCAGCATCATCATCAGCATCATCGTCATCAGCAGCAGCGTCATTATCAGCGTCGTCATCAGCAATAATATTCTTCATCACCATCACCGGCATCACCATCATCACCAGCATCAGCATCATCATCGTCATGATCATCATCATCAGCAGCAGCAGCGTCATCGTCATCAGCATCATACTCATCATCAGCATCATCATCAGTATCAACAGCATCAGCATCATCATCATCGTCATCATCATCGTCTTCGTCATCGTCATCATCAGCATCATCATCAGCATCAGCATCATCATCAGCACCAGTATCATCAGCATCAGCATCAGCATCAGCATCATCATCACCGTTGTCGTCTCATAAATATCATCATCAGCAGCAGCAGTATCAGCATCAGCATCATCATCATCCTCATCATCATCGTCATCAGCAGCATCATCATCGTCATCATCATTATCAGCAGCAGCAGCATCAGCAACAGCAACAGCAACAGCATCATCATCAGCAGCATCATCATCGTCATCAGCCTCATGATCATCATCATCAGCAGCAGCTTCAGCATCATCATCAGCAGCAGCATCATCAGCAGCAGCATCGTCGTCAGCATTAGCATCATCATCGTCATCATCATCATCCTCATCATCCTCATCATCATCATCATCAGCATCAGCATCATCATCAGCAGCATCATCATCATCGTCCTCATCATCATCCTCATCATCAGCATCATCATCAACATCACGGCTCTTCCAGGCCTGCAGACACGAGGTGTTACACGTCACGGCCTATCGTGCCCCCTCGAGCAATCGCCACCCAGAATGCTGGGCTGGAACGGTGGCGGGACTTGCCGCAAACGGCTGGATAAGTATAGCGATACAGGGTAAAGGATAAACATAAAGCATGCGGGTCTTGAGAGGGTCCTGGCAGAGTCCTGACAAGGTCTTGGAGGTGACTCAGGAAAACAAAAGCTCCCGATCGAGGAATCCGACACGAAAACGATACTCCCGCTCGAGACTAAGTCACGCACAAACGCCCAAGAGGCGCCCATCTTAGTCGATACAATAAGAGCGGGATGGAAGAATCCAGGAAGCTGCCAGGACCCCCATGTGAGAGTTTGCGGGTTACTGATTTAGCCGATTTGAGAACCCTAGAACGAAATGCTGTTAGGGAGTGAAGACCATTTGAACTTCGATGTGAACATCTCTGGGGGGGGACGGCAAATTAGTCGTCGAGACCCTTTGGACATGTAGGGGTCCTTCGTAGACCGTCGTAGAAGGCAAGTTGAAGGAAGGAGACGGGGGGGCTCAGGGTGGGGTTGGGGTCGGCTCTTCGGAGGGGGCCGAGGAAGCACGGTCGCAAGGTCGGTCAATTAAAATAATCCGCCGCGAGATCATAGTGGTAGCCATTCTGATATCTACGCTTACCAACCCCACCCTGGC